CTAAAAAAGGCTAATGTTTTTACAGAAATAGAAGAAAACAACACTCAACGACTGTGTAACTGTGCAACAGCCCATGTAAAGGAGCGACTACTCCAGATGGTTTATTTATTATTGTACTGGCAAGTTCCCAATTAGACAACTTGTCTAATTCGTAACCATATCCCAAGTGTTCAGGTTGGGTATAGCTATTATATAGTCTGTAGCAGTGCAATAACTAGAATAGTCATTGTATAGCAACTGCATCATAGATCTACTCTCTGGCAATTTTAATATTAGTCTAACATAAGAGCTTAAGAAGAGCCTGTTGGATCAAGCTGATGGCCTGTTGAGTCCAGCATGCTGTTCTCACAGTGGCCAACCAGATGCTTATTTGAAGTCCATCAATAGGACCTGGGTGCAATAATACCCTCCTCTCTGGCCAGTTTTCAACAACTGGTATTCAAAAGTATAATGCTGATGGTGGAAGCAGAGCATAGCTATTATGGCTAGTTGTCAATGATAGTCATTAGGACCCTTAACATCAAAATCAAGCAAGTGAAGTTTGGTCTGGTATGGAAAGAAAATGGTGGGGAAAGTTTAGCCTGAATATTTTATCTTTGTTGGACTGTTGATAAAGGCACGGGAACAGGAAGAATGCCTAGTTTAGAAAATGCACCATCTAAAAGCAGGTAGGAAGAACAAGGAAGCTGAAAACAAATAAATGCAATCACTCTGAGTGTTTCCTTTCTCCCACTTTATGGATACTGTTCATTAGTTCAGCAAGAAGGAAACTTGTTCTCACCTTCCAATATCTTGGTCAATGTATTCAACAGCATTGGAGTAACGGATAAGCAAAACACCCTTGAAAATTAAATGTCATCATACAGATATGTAACACATTTAAGGCTTCTACTCTGTACCCAGTTATCTGGGTGTAAGCTGGATGTGGAAGTTACTTCTCAACAGAGCTCATAGGATTGTGCTGTAAATAACTTTCAGTGCAGCCAGCAACTTTTATTTAAGTTCTGGATGTTCAGCATTTATACTAACCTACTCTGTACCCTTGCTCCCCTGGTGTACCCTTGGGCCTCTTAACCACAAAAAAACTTTGTCCAAAAGCTCATGCCAAGTCCAGAAGTCATTCACTGCCAGTTTCCCAGTATTATAATCTTGGCCCATTCTTGGTGGCTAACAATTTATCCTTGATGCCAGTTTATTAGATCAATTATGCAAGGTCAGTCCTAATTGGCAGGATTGGTCATCCTTCACTGCTCTGAAGCATAATCTTCCCCCTTCAGTATTCAAAGTTCAGTGAACTATGTAGCCGATAAGGTTCCTAACCTATCCCATGACAATAGCAATGTGATCATAGCTTTATGAATACATCAGGCATAGCACTTCCAGCATAAAAATACAATTTATGGCTCATCAAATTTTATTGATAAAACACAGATGTAGTTATTTCCACAAGGCTTGGAAATCTAGTTTTCCAGGACAGGAAGGGAAGAGGGAAGAAAGATTGCCTGTTTAGCATAATCTTTATGTTCTTCTTATGGGATCAGTGATTGTCTCATATAAGTTTTAAATGCTCCAGGAGCTGAGATGTTGATATTGTTTGTTTGTTTGTTCATGTGTGTGTGTGTGTGTGTGTGTGTGTTATAATAGCACATGTGGTGCTGCACATTTATAGCTACTGTAGTTTTCTCCAAATATGACATTTCATGAGAACAAAATGGGATGGCATAATAGTTTAAGCTGGAAGTGTATAAACAGAACATGAGAGGGGGATGTACCTGTTTAATGCCTATCTTTTCACAAGTACCTTATATTTCTGATTGTCTCCAGCTGGTGGCTGGAGTACTGGACTGAGGCCTGAGAGATCTGGTTTTGAATCCCTGCTGGTCATCAAGCTTAATGGGTGATCTTGTGAAAATCATGTGTTCTCTGCCTAACCTATCTCATACTGTTGTTATAGGGATACAAACAGGTTATAACATGGACATTTTATCCAATCCCATCACAGACAGAACTTTTATCGAGAGCAGGACCAAATCAGTGCAAATGTTTCAGAAATCATCTGCATTGTTCTTTCCAGTTCAAACTAAAGACCTATGCCTCCGCAGAAGATAGCAGACAGCTTGATAAGGTTCTGGATGGAAGGAATTCATTGTTTTGCAAAGGTGTCCCCCCCCCCAACACAGTGTGGCAAAAATCCCCAACAATACCCCTTCATTAGATCAGGGGATGAACATCTGCTGAAGTAGACAATGTGATGATATATACTGGAGGTTTTTAAATGGAGATTGTGGCCATCTGTCTGTGATTCCTGAATTGCAGGGGGTTGGACTAGATGACTCTCAGGCTCCCTTCCTACTCTATAATTCTAATAGATAGAGATAGATAGATAGATAGATAGATAGATAGATGATATAGCTCCACACTCCTGATGACATTAGCAGAGGAGCTCATGGAGGAGGAGGAGAAGAAGAGTTTGGATTTGATATCCTGCTTTATCACTACCCGAAGGAGTCTCAAAGCGGCTAACATTCTCCTTTCCCTTCCTCCCCCACAACAAACACTCTGTGAGGTGAGTGGGGCTGAGAGACTTCAAAGAAGTGTGACTAGCTCAAGGTCACCCAGCAGCTGCATGTGGAGGAGCGGAGACGCGAACCTGATTCCCCAGATTACGAGTCTATCGCTCTTAACCACTACACCATGCTGGCTCTCAAATGGAAAGTGCCTGTGAACAACATAAGGAGCTAGGAACACTCCTCCCCGCTCTTCCTGCAGTCTTTGAAACTGATTTGAAGCAGCTTAAATCTGGCTAGTTCACACATGTGATGGTGATGATGTTACTCATAATATTCACGATCCACAAAGATTTATAATGAATTGAGCCTATGTATAACATTGTTATTTCATATGGCAACTAATTTGCCAAATATTTTGCCCATCTACCAGCAAATGTTTCCTTTGAATGTGAAATGTAATTGCATTCCTCTGGAAGTCAGGTTGCCACAATGTAGTTTTGAAACCTGCCACATTGGAAACATTTGAACTCTTGCTCATCCATCATCCTTTCAACAAAGGGATTCATGCTAGTGACTCTGCAATCTTTTTTAACATTTCACATTATTGGGGAGACATAGAATCATGGAGAATGCAACTATAACATTCATGGCCGATGGTCATGTAGATACTATTTAAATAGACTCATGCTCAATAACATTCCCACAAACAACCCCTAAATGCTGAAGTGACTGTAGTGAACAATTCATGATTTCAGTAAGCATCCTGAAGTAAGCATAATGACAATGGGCAAGTCAGTCAGTTTCTCATTTTTTCCTGTCTTACATTCAGTTCTCTGTATTTCTGCATCACTTGCATTTTTTAAAAAAATACTTCATGACAATTTATCAGCAATTTTCTCCCAATATACTGCATTTTAATTAATGTTTTCATCAATATATGTATCCTTATGCACACTTTATTCTATTGTACTTTTTTTTACATATGACTTGGCTGAAGAACTGCACTGAAAAATTCAGAAAAGAGTGAATTTTGAAGGATGTTTGTGTTCCAGTTCTCCCATTGTTTCAGAAAGGGCAAATTCCATAGGTTAGCCTTGAAATGCAAACTGAATTGAAGTTCTCCTCCATCCTTTTAACATGCCATTATTTCAGTACCCAGTATTAAAGACCCATTGTGCAAAAGGAAATGAAGAAATGATTTAATGATATAATACACTGAGTTCCATAAAGCAGAGAAAGAAGAGACTATTATTTGCATCTCAAAGTTACTTGGAGTGCCCAAGTGCCCAAATAACAGAGTCTGTTATTTGTGTATGATCATCTTTAGAATGTCAAGGAAAACACAAGAGGTTCAAACATGACATATTTGAATTGGTTTATATTTTATTAAACTTTGTGAGAGAGTCTCCTACTGATATATGTATTCTTAAACCTACCTAAAAAGAGCATATTCTGTGCTGAACAAACATTAAATTAATCTTTAGTCATATATCCAGTTTTGCATGGATTGGCAGTGTATTTTAAAAGTGTAAACTGAAATAACTTTTCCACCCTCCTGGAAGGCCAAAAGTATATGCAATTCATTTCAACTGTAACTTTGTCAGATGAAATCAAATATGCCAAAATTCAGCTGGTTACCCATTGGATCTTTGGTTCCCCGCCCAATTCCAAACTCATAGTTTATTTCCTGATGCCATAGGAACAAATGGAGACATTATTTCCTGCGAGGTGAAGAAAAGGCACCTAAGATGGATGAAGCTCAGATTGACTCAGACAGTTTCTTCCCAATTTAACTGATTTTTTAGGAAGAGTGTTGACAACTTTCAGGTTAAACTGGGGACAATTTTGGAGACCTCACCCATCTCTAATGAAAAAGTTGTAGGCCATGAAATACCTCAACCTGAAACTTTTGAGAGTTGCTGACAAGCAGTAGACTACAGCTGGGCAAGTTTGGCTTGGGGACTGCATTTGATCCCCAGCCTCATTTTATCCTTGCCCCCAGAGCCTCCTGAAGCAGTCCCAGTAAGAACTCAAGAAGATCCCTGCTTGATCAGATCAAAGGTCTATCTAATCCAGCATCCTGTTCTCACTGTGGCCAAACAAGCAGGACCACAGTGCAATAGCACTCTCCCTTCCAGCAACTTATATTCAGAAGCATACTGCCTCCAACAAAGGAAATGGTGCATATCCATTATGGTTACTAGCGGCTGAAACCCTAATTCCTCCCCGCCCCCTGCCCGTGTGTGTTTAAGCTATCCAAGTTGGTGGTCATCATTGCATCTTGTGGTAATGGAATCCATAGATCTGTGCTGGTTGAAGTAGTACTTCTTTGCTTCCATTCTTTTAAGCTTCTTGGTTCCCACTTGTCTCTATTTTTCATGGCTTTTAAGTGTTTCTCTTTCCATGTAAGCTGTTTCTGCAATGGGCATTTACTTTGGAATAGCAACGCTTTGTTGACTCATGTTTTACAAGGGATGTATGTGACATGGTGGAATATCTCAGTCAGTAGAGTATAAGACTCTTATTCTCAGGGTTGTGGGTTTGAGCCCCGCTTTGGACAAACAATTCCTGCATTGCAGGGGATTGGACTAGATGACCCTTGGGATCCCTTACAACTCTACAGTTCTATGAAGAATTTAAGTTTCCCCCCATATTTTCCTATCCTGTTTACAGATATTTACTTTTTTTCCAGCTCTCAGAAAATTTGACTTCCCTTAACACAATGGAATAGATGCACAATTTCCCATGATACAGATGACAAAACACCATGCACCTATTATGTCTGTATATATTGCTCTAGCTATTTCCTCTCTGTGGTCTGCTTCTACTCTCTAGGAGTCAGCTCTGTCACTTAACCACTTAAACCATACCTTTCCAAAGAACACTGTATTTATATCAATTTATTTCACCTCCAAATTAAAGTTGTTGATGTGAGAAAACATGACCAGTGGTGTAGTGAAAGAAGACTAGAGATTTTACCAGTTTCCCCATTATGGCCTCAATGAAAACTATCCCCCTCCCTGATACACAGCCCCTGAAAGATGACACCCACTGGAATGTAGTCATCAGCAGTAGAAACCAACACTTGTCCACCCCTTTTATAGACAACATTGAGTTGGATTGGCCAAATACATTACTGAATAAAATGAATTTTCATATTTGAGGGCTACAATTGGACATGTTCCTATGTTCTAAAGTGCCTTTGGTTTCACTGAACCATGTGGATTTATTTCCTATGGTGGAGGGAGGACTATAATGGTAGGCTAACTTAAAACTTAACATATATTTATATTCCAGTCATTCGTGTATGGAAGTGGCCAACTCATCCCTCAGGCATATTTTCTTGTGTCTGAGAAAGTATGTAAATGGTCAAAATTGGATAAGTGCCTGTCTTCCAGCTAGCTGTAATTGTAAGTTCTTTTAAGCCAAGTCATAATGAATGGTAGATAGCAATTGGCTGGAACCAAGTTAGTCAAATATCCAAGGATATGGCTGAATTAGCTCTGAATAATTGGCTATAGGAGCAACTTTGTTATTCCAAAACTCGAAGATCAGGTGTTGCATTAATTTCCTAATGCAATGGCCAAAGGGGGAGAGGTAAATGGGAGAGGAAGCTGCTCCTTTCTAAAGGTTATGTTATAACTCAGATGCTATTCTGCATGCTGTTTATCATAATGCAGAATATAATGTGATTGTTTCACAATGCCATGGCTTTGAATTTTATTACTGCAGTGTTATTACATTTAGCAGAGAGCAAAAATAAAAAATAAAATAAAATTTACAGTTAAATCAAAGCACTTACTGATTCCATATTTAGGAATGGGTTAGAAACTGGCACCAGACTCCATAAACACCAACACTAAAAGCATGAGGTTCATAATTCTTTGGACTTTTATATCTCTCCAATGCAAGTTTGGCTGGTCAAATTAGAGAGGTGGCTGCATTTTGTCTAAAGAAGAATGTTCGGACAAATTCTGAATGTTCTTTCTTAGGGGAAAAACTCGAACATGGAAACCTCAGAGATAATCACGCAAGCTTTTTCTTCTTTTTTCTTTTTTTTGCTTTGCTCCCTTATCTGGATACCTTCCTTATCAAGATGAACTCAACATACAATAGCAATCACAGCCACCACTCCAACTGGGCTCTTGATAACTCACATTTTTTTATGATGATGATGATGGCAATGAATTATTCTAATTCCTATTATCTGTGGCTAGAAAAGGGGTGGGGAACCTTTTTCCAGCCCAAGGACCACATTCTTTTCTGGGAAACCTTTTGTGGGACACATGCCAGAGGGAGGCAGGGTCAGAGACAAAATGGGCAGAACAAATAACATACCATTTACCTTTGTACAGTAAGCTAGTTTCCATGCACACTCTCAAACCCCACTCTGTCCAATGTCCAGATAAGTAAGTGGCATTGTTAAGAGTTCAATGGCATATTCCAGTCAGGCAAAAACACTTGGGAGGGTGCAAAACAGGGCAAGTGAGGGGTGTGGCCTGGGGAAAGAGTGTGTGACCTAGAGATAGTACTGAGGGCCAGACAGAGTGGCCAGGATGACTGCATTTGGGTCCCATTCCTAAGGTTGTCTATCCCCAAGTAGCTTTTTACTGGAAGCCCATAATCTCACCTTGTCTCCTTTGTAAACTAGGGTATGGGACTATATCATCTTGGAGATGGCACAGAGATTTTGATGAGTGAAAGGACAGATGAAGCTGATTTTTAAAAAATGGCATTGCTGTCTTCTCTGTCTCTCCAGGATTGCACCACAACCTCACAAGAAGAACCTAGGGTAGATCAGAGCAGGCCTCCCCATTCTCAGTGCTGGGACACTTTCTGCATATCTGAGAGCAGACTGGACAAAGCATTAAGAATTTGAGATGTGGGCTTTTGGGAGTCAGTAAGTTAGTTGAAGCAGAGGTTACATTTTAGCATTATGGAAATACAGCAGCAACAATACTCCTTTGGTTGGGCCACATAATGTTACTGAGGAAGAACACTACATCATGCTATGGATCCCTTGCAGACCACAGAAAATTGTTCCTGTCCAGATCACCCAAATGTCCCATTTCAAGACAAATGATGCCACAAACTGGAGGGGGGCACTTCTAAGACCAATCACCTTCTGTTGGTAATTCAGCCATGTGAGGCTCAGCAATCTTTTTGGAGGACTATTGTTTCCATGCCCTATTTATTGTCTTCCGAGTGGCATCTGTTTGGTCACTGTGCAGAGAAGGATGCTGGACTATTTGAGTGATTATTTTGATCCAGTGGGGCTCTTTTGACTTCCTGGAGCCTTTCATTGTTTAGCAATCCATTAATTAATTTTATTTCATTTCAAGAGCCCTGCTGGATCAGAACAAAGGTTCATCTACTTCAGCATCTTGTTCTCACAGTGGCCACCTAGGTGCTTATGGGAAACCCACAAGCAGAACTTGGTTGCAAGAGCACTCTCCCCACTTGTGATCTTCAGCAAGTAGAATTCAGAGGCATTTTGCTTCTAACAGTGGAGAAAGAACATAGCTATTATGGCTAGTAGCCATTAGTAACCTGGTGGTACATTAATTTGTCTAATCCTGTTTTAAAGCCATCCAAGTTGGTGGCTAGTGCTGCATCTTGAGGGAGTGAATTTCACAATTTAACAATGTACTGTGTTAACTATGCTCATGCCCACAATTGTTTTCCAAAGTCACACCAGGGTGCCCATAATACTATTTGGGAACTGCTGTATTACTGGGTCTAATTTAGTGACAATGAATTTGTGCCATCAATGACTAATCTTTCCTGGATCAGGGACTATTAAGCCTGCCAGCTGACGATCATTGTGATTTTTATTTATTTATTTTTTGTCCAAGGAGAACACAAGTTTAAGTTTTCCGGAACATTCTCCGTTTTGCATCCATCCATTTCTGTGGTCTTTCATTCATCAGTACACGGTCATTGGTTTGATTTCTGAACAATACAGTGTTGGAATGGGGCAACCTGAATCCAGAATGTTTCTTAAAGCATCATTACACATCTGAACAGGAGCATTTATATCCCGAGGAAAGGCCAGTCCTGGGTCAAGATTTACAATTTGAGCTGTCAGTTTATCAGGTTGGAGCAGGTGGCAGGGGCAGTGAGAAATCAACCCTTGTAGAAGTAAAAAAACAAAACCAAAAAACACCCAAACACACATAAATAGATGGAAGAGAAGAAGTGATAAGTGATGGGTGAAACTTTAAGCTGCAATTGACAAATAAAAAGCTGGATGATGTATACAAATGCAATATTCTTTTATGAGATGACCCCATCACAGAGACTTGCCAATCAAAGACAAAGAATGAAATTTCCCATTACATTTTCTGACATTCAGAATAGTGTCTCATATCAGATACAAAAAACACACACAAAACAAAACCATATTTATATTAATTATGTTGTTCCTGGTAGGCATTTCAAAGGTGATCTTCATATATTAAATCAGTATTGTCAAGAAAAGACACCAGAGTTAAAATAGAACAAATTAAGAATCAAAGAGACAATACACATGAGAGCTCAGTGGGGCTTACTCTCAGGTATGGATGTTTAAATAGTGAATAAAATATAGGTAGGCCAGCTACTTACTGATGTAATGTCACTCTACTGCCCCCTGTTTTTGCAAAAGTATTTCCACTGTGTGCAGGAGGCTTGTTTTTGTGTGCCTGTTGGACAGAGCAAAACAATATGGGAGAAAATTCAAGGATGTGTGTTGAACTTAGCATCTTAAATGAACAAGGTGAACAGGTTTATTTTTTAATCCCTGTTTGTTTTTGTTTTTTTATACCCTCTAAAATCTACTCAATGCAGCACAGGAGTTTTCTCTTTATCTGCCAGTGTGTCCTCCAATGATTATGTGAGATACAGTGTGGTGTGGTGAATAGAGTATCTGACCAGGACCTGGAAGACTAGGGTTCAAATCCCCACTCATCCATGAAGCTCATTCAGTGGGTGACCTTAGGCCAATCACTGCCTCTCAGCCTAACCTACTTCACAGGGTTGTTGTGCAGATTACATGAAGAAGGGGAGAACCATGATGCCCAGGGCCAGCCCCAGGACGGGATCTAAGTAAGAAGGCAGGCAGGTGGGGTTGGCTGAGGGCAGACTGGAATTGGTAAGGCAGTGCTAATGCACCAGCCCCGATGGGGCACAAGACTCTTCTGAGAAAGGCTTTGGTGCTGGTAGCACCTCCTACATCTGTTGTGCATGTGTGTGTTTGTGTAGAACTGGGGACCTGCCTCAATCACAGATTTGATTAGTTATGACACTGCTCATATCAGCATGCATTGATCCCCTTTATCGAAAAGGCATATAAATAGAATACTCATTTGAAGTGGGGAAGTGAAACCAAATGATTCCCTCTTTCTTCCTCCATATCCAGTAATGTTAGTGTGCAGTTTTTGTTTCTGTGCCGTGTCTACAACAAGGAGGGCCAATAATAAAATGTCTAAATCTCTCATATCCCATGGATCACACATGACTCTTTCTGACTCTGTGGACAACAATGACCACAATGAAACAAATGACCAGTTTGGGTCAAAG